TCCACCTAATACTGAACTGCTGTGAACGTGTGGATATGCTGTTTCCTGCACCAGCAGTGCTCGGATTTCTCTGTCTTCCCTCAGGCTCTTTTCTATGCCTGGATTACCTTTACGGTTACCTCATTTGCTTGGCTAACTCCTAATTGTTCCTTCAGATTCAGCTCAGGCGTCATCTCCAGAAATGATTTCCTGTCCCTACCTTCAGCTGTGGTGGGGCAGCCCTCATCTGTGTCCCCATAGCACTCCACGCTCATCTCCATCACCGCACTGACAATAGAACCTTCTCTGTAGGTGTAGCCTCCCTGACCTCACGGTGACCCCCACGAGGGCAGGGCAAAGACCGTGTTGCTTTTGTTTGTCACTGTATCCTAGGAAACTTTCACAGTACCTGGCACATAGCAGTTTTTTGGTAAATATCTTGTCTCAGTGACTTGACAAGATGAAATGTAAACAACTTAGCATTGTTTTGTGTTTTTTTTAACAGGCCCCTGCCTATCTTGCTAGCTTCTTCTCTTGCCACCTCTCACCCCCATGGACTTTCACTATTCTGGCCTTACAAGCTATTGATACTAACATGAAGTCTCTTTCTATGTGCCTTTCTATGCACTGTTTCTCCTTTCTGAATGCTCTCCCTCCTCCTTTACTTTCCCAACTAGCAAACCCCCTAACCTTCAAGGCCACGTCAAGATAGATTTTCTCTGTAATGTACCTAACCTTCCTCTGTGTTTACACAGCATGCTCTTCAGACCTCTGGCGTTCTCTGGTTTCGGTATCGTAGACACGTTTCTTCCTTATCCCATTAGACTCGAGCTCCTTGGAGGCCAGGAACCATGTCTCTTTCATCATTTTGTAAGACTTAGGTTCCATTAACTTCTCACTCTGTGTGGAATAAAGACCAGAGTTGTTGAGGTACCATAAGCAGTCTTTCAGTCTGTCCTCAAACTGTCTTCATTCTTGTCTCATCTCCTGCCACCAACTGGGATTTATCCATATTGTTCTGTGTAGTTTTAGATAACTTTAAATTGCTCATAGTATATCATTGTATGACTATCCCACAGTCATGCAATTTTTTATTTATTCATTTTATACTTGATGAGTGTTTTGGTTTTTTTCAGTGTTTCATTATTAAACGAATTTGTAATGAGCATTCTTGTATACAAAGAAAAATCTAGTCTTTTTCTAATTAAAAAATATTCTGGCAGCTATACCCTGACTGAATGAATATTAAGCATACTTGAAAGTCAGTTTCCACTTATTTTAAAATCAGAATTATCCCTCTAATGCAAACATGACGTATCACTTACCCTAACTAGCATTAAGCTAGGGTGATACTATGAATGCAAAAACTTAAGCAAAAGTTACTTTTCTCAACAATTTGCAAGTATATCTCATAAATTTAGGTAATTTTGCCTTAAAAATGCTCAATGAAAGCCAAAATTAGAATGTTTTTTAAAAATCCCAAATTTTGAAAGCTCTAGCTATAAGACCTGAGGAAAACACTTATGAAATTGTAGAAGAATAACATCTTGAAGTGTAAATTCTATTTCTCATTCATGATGGAAAACTGGAAGTGACCTCAAATCATCTGTTCTTATACCAACTGTCTTAAAAACAGCTGGGAGCAGTGGCCACAGCTACTTGAGGTAGACTGTTTCAATATTTTTACTCTTAATTGTCAAATTTTCTGTTATGCCCAACTGAAAGAGCTTATGTTTGAATTAAAGCTCACTTCCTTGTTTTGTCTTCTACTAACAAGGAAAGCAGACTGTTAGTATTTTTTAAAATAAACAAACTAGTCTTTCTTCTCCAAAGGAAACAATTTCAAATTCTTTTTGCTTTGATTCCTAGGACTTGTTTAATAATTTTTGTCTATTGATCATGAAAGTTATCATAGATTACCTCTTCTGTCCTTCTCTGCAAGTACACTCTTAGGACACTGACAGAGAGTCCCATTTGTTGAGCCCATAAAACAGCGCCTGAGTTTTGATATGTCGGAAAGCCAACAAAGTACGCTGTATTGCTTCACTTGCCCCCTTTCGCTCTTACTAACACCAAGTACTCACTTCTTTCAGGTGTAGTTATTGCTTTTGCTTTTTGTTTGGGCATCTAATTTATGCCTTTGAGTCTTGCTCTGCCCTGTGCTACATATTGACCACCAAAGTTCTTTGTCTCAAAAGACTTCTGAAATTAAAAGAATCTTACTAATTTCCCTTTTTATGCATTTCCATGTGAATATGCATTATTCCAGTGTATTTTTATCTTTTTATTTTCATCACCTGCAAAATAATTTGTATATTTAAAAATGTATACCCATAATTCAGTTCACTGTTATGTTCAGTAATTTTTATTCCATAGTTTTACTTCAAGGAATTGATCTTACAGGTAGTCTCACCTCAGGTAGGTTAAAAGTTACATATTAGGCTGTTTATAATACAAAAAAAACTGGAAACATTGCAATGATTGATTAATAATGGATTAGTTAAATAAATGATGGTATATCCATATGCTTAGGTGTCAAGCAACTGGCACTCAATAAATGTTCGTTGAATGAATCAAGGAATATATTGTTAAGTAGAAAACAATGAAAAGTACAAAACAGTTCCTACTTTGTAGAATAAAAAAGATAGATGAATGTGGACAGTATTCATTTATGTCTTGATGCATATAACATTTCTGGAATCACATACAATAAACTGCTAACATTAGTAACCAGTGGGTCATGGGAATGAGTGTGAGTAGAAAGTGCAATGTTTACTTTTAACCTTAAAAAGGAAAAACAGAACAAAGCAGAAGTAACCTTAAATGGAGAAGACCTAGAAAAATTAAATAATCGAAAAAAATGCACATACCCTTAGAGGTTAAACCTTATTTCTTACTTCTTTGTATAGCATTTTCATTCACTCTCCTTGCTTTCCCCTATTTAGCTCCTGTGTTTTGCCTTCTGTTTAGAAATGCCTTTTGTCTTCTCTCGCACAAACGTTTTCTTCAAGACTCTATCAAGATCTAATCCCTTCATAAAACTTTACTGGACCATTCCATTTCAGATGAATCTGTCTTTTAGACATATGCTTAGTATTTAATCAGTATTATATGATTTTACAGTCATTCAGTAATTATTTCACATATTTTTTCTTCCTACTGTATTTGAGTATAGATTTAGAGATTTTCCTTGCCTCGGTCATATTTGCTTTGTACAACATCCAGCATTACCAATAAGTGTTTAAGGAATTTTTATCCTTGATAAAACTTAATCTAGAAAGAATACTTAGTAGCCTTGTCTTCAGTTACTGTCCCATTTAAACCATCTGAAATAATTAGGGATTTTCCTAAATAGATATTCAAGTTAATGTTCTATTTAGAAGGGTATGGCTAGGAAATACTAGAGTAATGTTTTTTGGCATTTTAAAAAATACTACAAATTATACCTCAGATTATATAGAAAAATGCATAGAATCAGAATTGCCTTTATTTTTAAGCTACCATCTAGCCCCCAAAGGAATTCTTTATTAATTAGATACAGTAGGTTTAATATTTGAATCGTATAATTATATACATATAAAGCTTTATTATTATACACATATGCATTGAGGATTGTTATATATTCTTGGTGAATGGGCCCTTTTATCATTATAAAATCTCTTTATTTCTAATAATATATTCTTGTCCTGAAGCCTACTCTGTCAAATATTAATTTCTTATGATTAGTGTTTATGTATCTTTTTTGCATCATTTTACTGTTAGCTTATCTGTCTTTAAATTTACAAATGTGACTTTTATAAACAGCATTTGATTGAGCCTTGCTTTTTTATCCAGTCTGACAACCTCTGCTGTTTAACTGGAGTGTTTAGCTCACTTATGTTTAATGTAAATTAGCTTTATCCTTTGAAAATTGCTCGTTTAGATGTGTTAGGATACCTTTAGAATAATCTTTACTCTGGGTTAGAATAACCCTACTCCCTAAAGCGTGGCCTTTCTGAGAATTCAATTGAATGGCCATGTTTTATCCACTTTACCAGCATCCCTCAGCCTTTTGTGACCTACAAAATCCCTGTTAAGTTTTCAGTTCCTGGATAATTGTTTAACTGCCACACCTTGTGTGGGGTTTTTCTTTGCACAGTACAGCTTAGTATTTAGCCAAACACTCAAGAGGACCCTTGGGGAGATTTCTGGACCTCCCTCTTGCATTTCTTTATCTGATAATCTGCCCTGCAAATTCCAGCTGACACAGCAGTCCCAAATTCATATCTCTGTCTTCTTAGCTCAGCACAATCCTACTGTATACTGTTTGGGTCCCACCATTCTGAATTACAGTCTGGAATGTTTTTCTAGGTGGAAATTCACCATGTAGATCTCTTTCCTTTGAGAAATCAGAATCTTGCACGTCAGATTTCAGTATAACATCTGAAAACAGTTGTTTTGTATATTTTGTCTAGCTTCTTAGTTGTTTACAGTGGGAGCTATTCAGTACTAGTTAATTCATCATTGTCAGAGGCAAGATCTTATAATATGTAAGTAATTTTTTGAGCTATAATATTAAATCGTAGAGTATATTATACTAGAGAAATAGTCTAATCTAACACACTTATTTGAAAGATGTGAAAATCGAGACACGACATGCTCACGTGGCTTGTAATAGATTATACCATGATACTCATAAAGTCAGTCTATATAGCCCAGGTTTTTTAAATCTCTGTCTACTGCTTTTTCAACTATAGTAATCTTCTGAATATTTCTCCTATGTTTGAAATATCATTTTAACTTGTCAAACTTTTAAAATCTTTAGAATCCTTATAATTTAAACATTCTCCTCACTTCATTTTTTTTGTTATATCAATAGTATTGTTAATCCTGCTGTTAACATGGGCATGAAAAAGAATCATTACATGTGTATTTTAGAATAATTGACATTCTGTGGAACTGTCTAATTCCGTATAAGACCTAGAAAAGGAGACACTTAGTCCTTTTATATAATTGGGTTTTTTATTTATTTATCTTTTCAGTTTGTTTTCCTTGCTGTCTAAAAAACACAACAAAGTTCTGGAACAAGCCACACAGTCCTTGAGAGGTTCGCTGAGTTCCAATGATGTTCCTCTACCAGATTATGTAAGTAGCTACCTTACTTTGTCAATAAAAAATTTTCCTTTATTGCTAAATTTATAAATAATACCCCTCTCTTCTCAAGATCTGCCTGTGATCTTGGCGCCCTAGAGATCTCTAATACACAAATAAAGGAGGGACGTCTCAAGTCAAGGGGGAAAAAATTAGTGATTATTAACTAATAGTTGAAGAAAATCAACCCTAAATCAATGATTGTTAATAATTAGGACTCTTATTATCCTACTCAAGAAACCTCTCAAACTAATTGCAGAAAAATAAAAGGAGAGATTTTGTAAGAAGTATGCAAAGGTTTCTAATTGAACTCAAGGGGAAGAAGTAAACCTGGATTGCATAGAGAATGAGAACCTGATATTGAACAGCCATTGGATTCAAGAATATCCTGTCTTTCTGAGGCCATTTAGTTTCTGTTCTCTGCTGCCTTTTACTTCATTGTTGTTATTCTGCCTCCTATAGACCAGGTTTCTCCATTCGCTGACTGTGAAATAGCAACCTCAGCACTTTCCCTTTCTACCTCTCAACCCATAATATGTCCTTGTGAGTGTCACGCCTTTAGCTGACTGATCAGAGTCTTGAAGCCCTAATTTTCACTTCCTGGGAAAGAGACTCTAATTGGCTATGCTCAGGTCAGTTTGCTACCCTACTCTTGTCAGCCCTGGTCAGCAGAGAATATCAGTAACGTGTTGCCTTTGCTCCATCCACATTAAAGATGAAGAGCTTATTACCACCTGACATCGGGATGATGATGGAATAGAACAGAAGCAACACAGGGATGAGCATTATGTAATAACAGAAAAGAGAATGCATTATGAGTTCCTGTAGGGCAATGCCACTATCTGTGCCATTTCTTATGTTTTGGAACATGGCTTAGATAAAGATGCTAAAAATTATCTTGTCATAAACTACAGAAGTAGTACATCAAGCTCTAATAAGAACCTCCCTAAATCTCCAGACAACAACTTGGTGGGTTGATATTTAGAAACCTTATGAGAGGATTTTTAGATTCTGAGGTGAAAGTTGTGATGCAGACCAGACAGCCAGAGAGTTGTTTTGCTTGCTTCCTGTGGTTTGTTTCATTTCTAAACGGCCGTGCTGATATGGGACTGTGGGAACAGCACCCAGTCCGGATAGCAGTCGTTGATAAACAGAGATAGCTATGTGTGGCCACAACCTGTCTGGTGCTATTTTTCTTTTCTTTATTTATTTGGTGTGTGTGCGATATAATCTGTCATCCCATTAAGGTATTAAGTTTATAATTCCAAAATACTTCTCTTTAAAAAAAAAAATTATCTTTTAAGATTTTCCTGCTAGTTGAATATTCTCACCTTTTTAAAAAAAATTAGCATAATAGCTTACTGACTTCTTTCTACTCTTGCCATGACTTATTATAAGAAAAATACTTCTTCCTAATTGCTCCTTGGGAACCTCAGTGAGGGTCAGAGTGGCAGTGGAGCTTGTGTTTATTAAGAATTTGAATTTGGTTCATCTGTAAATGTGTTGTTATTTTTATACAATTGTCATTTGCTTTATGTAGTATTCCTGTGTTGTTATTCCTCAGAAATGTGTTGAGTGTAAATAGCCTTCAGGTCGCCCTTGTCCTCGCAGCATCCTCTAATCAGAGACCAGAAAATTGATATTTCTTTGAGAAAATAGGTCGTATTTCATAATATTTGCCAGTTATGGAGGTGATGCAGTGAAAGGGTGGTTGAACTTAACAGTTAATAGGAATTCTCCTACTGAACTTTACAGTTTTCAGAGTCACTATTTTCTTCTTGCATGAAATTTTCACTAAGTAAAAATGAATTTCTGAAAGCATCTGCTTCCTAGAAATACTGGGAAAATTCCATTTGGAATCTGTCATTGACAGTCCTTATTTTAACATTTGCGTTTATGAGACTTTACAAATCACAACATTATCCAAATGGATTTATGAACTTAAATTTTGCTGCCTTTCCTCAGAGTTAATTGAAGAGGGTGGGTAACACTGATTCAGTAGTAGTGATGATAACTGAATCACTCCTCCAGCCACTGATCTGAAGGCGATTAAAGAAAACAGCGACCATAAGTAAGTGCTACAGGATGTTCTTCTTTTGTGATAACTCAGTCTTTTATTTGCCATTTCCATTGCTCAAACACTATGTAAAAGTGATTTGTACCTTTGAAACTATGCTCTCATTGTCATTCTCTTTTAAGTTGGTCATTAACTGGGAGAATGAAGCATGTTCCTCCCTCTTTCTTCCCTAGAAATTTTACTTAAGTGCCTTTGCCAATACCACATAAAATTCTGTGTCCTGAGCTAATGCTTCAGACCACTTGTTTATAAAGGTAGAAAAGGAAAACGAAAGGGTCTTAAGACAGCAGTGGATTCCCTCATGTATACTTTCTACATCAGGACTGGATAAACGCTATTAGCAAAGATTTTGAATAAGTGCTTAAAAATAAGGATGTGTTCTTTTTCTCACTGTAGTACATAGAGTTCTTTCAGTATACCTAGAGGTTTCTGAGTTTATTAAGAAAATGTGTATTCTCATTATACTGTATAATTCACAAGTCAATTGAATAACAACATAGAAAGCAAAAAGCAAGTTACAAAAACATTAGTATTATTACTTTAGTACAACCACGTTTGTCTGAACATCTCAGGGGAAACCTGAAGCCTTCAACCAAGTTCTAGATAATGAGGAAAAACTTTGGCTGCTAAAGGGGAAATTTAAAAACTGCAGTCAAGTCCTCTGCGGGGAGAAAGAATGCCTGCTACAGAGAGTGGTAGCTGGTCCTGCAGTTTCTACAGGGGCAGTAAAGGTACTTAAGAAAGACAGTGAAGTTCTGCTGACTTGGCCAAGCTTCAGTGTCTTTATGTCAGGGTTTCATAAAATTTTATTCAATGACTGAAGAGACAGGAGAGGATTATTAAAGAAGAATCTTCCAACAATTTTTAAAAATGAGAATAAACATCTCAAACAACTTTAGTCATATACCACAGAACTTCAATATAGAAAGTGAAATAAAAGTAATAAATGAGTTGTAGTTGCTTTTTAAACTGTAACCGTGGTTTTTAAATATGAATATTGTCACAATGTCATAGAAGCTTTGTTTCTCTAATTTCTAACAGTCATCTTAACTATTTGAGATGAGAAGAATCTAATTTTTATTCTGGGAGGTAGCATACAAAACCAAATTATATTGCCCTTTGATCATCAAAGGCCTTTTGAACCTTTCCGTAGGACAGACTCTCCCGTCTCATTTCAAACAGTAAATGCAAAAGCACAAGCCAAAAAGAGTAAGGAGCCAGAATCAGAAAGAAACATTTCCTTTCCTGATTACACAGCTAAGCAGCATTTTCCAACACCCTTGTATCTTGATGGGGGCATCTGGCTGGCTCTCACCGGCGGAATGTAGGTGGAAGTAATGTCACCGTTGCACCATCTTCCACACCTCTCTCGGTGTCTGCTAGCTAGATGAGGGAAATCTAGTGGGAGATTCTGAGGTCTCACAGAGGATGGTCACAGTGTTTGGACCCCTGAATCATCTCATGGAAGATGAACCGAGTACCCTGTTGGACCTGATGTAAGTCAGCAGTAAAGCTTTACTACATTAAAAAATATGGGCAAAGATCTGAATAGACATTTCTCCAGAGAAGACATACAGGTGACCGGTGCACACATCAAAAGGTGTTTAACATGATTAGCCATTAGGGAAATGCAAATCAAAACCACAGTGAAGTTCATACCCATTGGGGTGACTAATCAAAAAGGCAGGTAATCACATGTGTTGGTGAGGTGTCAAGAAATAGAGTCCTCATATAAATGCTGGTGAGAATGTAAAATTATGTAACTGCTCTGGAAAACAAATTGTAGTTTCTCAAAAGGCTAAACAAAGAATAACCGTATGACCCAGCATGTGGTTATAAATACCCCTAAAGAACTAAAAACATATCCATGCAGAAATGTGAATGTGCATAGCACTGTTATTCATAATAGCTAAAAAAATAGCAACAACTCAAATATCCATCAATAGATAAATGTGGTATGTCCATACAATGGAATATTATTCAACAGTAAAAAGGAGTAAAGTACTGATGGCACACTTCAACATGGATGAACCTCGAAAACATGCGAAGTGAAAGAAGCCAGTAACAAAAGGCCACATGGTTTCTTTGGGGCGTGATGAAAACATTTTAAAATTAGAAGTGGGGATGGTTGTACAACTCTGTGAATAGACTAAAAACCATTGAATTATACATTTTAATTAGGTGCAGTCTATAGTGTGTGAATTTTATCTTGATGCCATTAAAAAAAAAGTATTTGGAGCACTAGTAAAAAAAAAACTAGGAAAAAAAGAACTATTTGTTGAATGTAATAGCAGATATGATCTTGGCTGGCATTATCACATGAGGATGAATGTAGGAAAATAAATCATATACTTTGAAAAAGTTAATATTTTCAAGGAGAGAAAATGTGTTTCTTGAGCAGTGACTTTAGAAACTGATAACGTCAGTTAGATAAACATTTACACAAAGGTATGTGTATTTTTCAGCCTGGTTTAAGAGCAAAAAATGAGAACAAGCAAGATATCCATCAGTAAGGGACTGATTGAATAAAGTATAAATTCATTCAATGTAATATTCTGCAACCATTTTTTTTTAAAAAGTGAATTTAATGCATATGGGTTTATGTGAAAAGATTCATAACACTTAAATCAGTTTTTAAAAACCTGCACTTTATAGTAGATAGGTATAGGCAATGTATGTTTGAAAATATGCACTTAATTTTTCTGGAATAATCCATAGGAAAGTATAAAATAGTGTTACCCGCCAGGAGTCAGACTGAAGGGAAAGAAATTAAAACTTTACACTTTTTACTTTATACTCTTCTTCATAGGTACAGATCTTGAAACCTTTGTCAAGTATGGACCCAACTTACTTTCCGCTTCCTTCCTCCTTCCTTTTGTCCTTTGTTATTTTCAGATAATTTTTGACCCACAGAAGA